ATGGTATTTTTGCCAGTGGCCCGGATAGGTGAAGCTGCCAATCCTGGCCCAGAAGATGCGATGTTTGTATTGGGTATTGCAAATCCTTCAGGTTTGCGCAGCAAAGCTCCTTTTGTTGCCACTCAAATGGCCCATGGGGACATATGGGCATTTAGTGAGACGCATTTATGCTCCAGGGAATTAAGCACCTTTAATGCCGGATTGAAATTTGCCAATGCGCCGTTTGCTCCTATGCTTGGTGGGTATCCTGTGCCGGTTTCTAAAGATAATACTGGTGCGTGGAAGGGGGTTGGTGTTCTGTCCAAGACACCTGTTCGGCACATTCCCCAGGATTGGCCGAAAGAAGTTGCCCAGTCTTCCAGAATCATGGTCATGACGACTTTTGTGGATAAGATTTGGCTGACTGGTGCTGTTGTTTATGGGGAACCAGATAGCAAGCACTATCCCATGCGCCTGCAACATACTGAAGCGTTGCTTCAAGCTGCCATTTCGTCAGTTGGATATCTTGCCTCTGGACCGCGTTTCATAGCTGGGGATTGGAACGTTTGTCAGAGCGAGCTTCCTGCATTTGATGTGCTTTCCCAACTTGGATTCAAGGATCTGCAGGATATTGCCGAGGAGAGGTGGGGAATTCGTCCCAAGGCTACCTGTAAGTTCCGGACAAGAAAGGATTTCTGCTATGTGTCACCTGAACTTCAAGCTTTGTTATTGCATGTTTCAGTGATAGAAGACCTTTGGCCAGATCACGCCGTGGTCCAAGGACACTTTCATAGACTCACCCAGTCTGTTCCTCGGGACATTTGGCCTAGTCCCAAACCTTTCCCTTGGCCAGCGGAGTGGGATATACCTGTTGGTGTTTGGAACAGCTTGACTGGTGACGTGGATGCCAAATATGCTCAACTCTGGGCTCTCCTTGAAGACTCTGCAAGTGCCAAATTGCCATTTACAGTTAGCAAGCAGGTCCGAGGTCGTGCTCAGACTGTCTCCACTAAGGCAGTTAGGTTTGGTCAATTTGCTCCAGTGCGGATTGGTCGCGCTGGTGAATTTCAGCCTCACTTCCATGGATCCTCTCTGAGGTACTCTCAATGGGTTAGACAAGTTCGTAGACTTCAGGCGTTCTGTCGTTGCATTGGTGATGCGAATCCTCCTAGTGAACATTCTGTGCTGGTCTGGGGTTCTGTTGTGCGTGCCCCTGGGTTTGCAGGCGGCTTTTCCAGCTGGTGGGCGTCATGCCCAAACAAAGTTCATGGAGCCCCAAGTCAGTTGCCATGGGTGCCTCCACCGCATGCATTGGCCACCAAAATTTTTGAGTCCTTGGTCATTAATGTTCGTGACCTTGAAAAGCAGTTGAAATCGTCCTCTAGACAGTATGCTCGCCTGCGTAGAGCTCAAATGCCCAACATGATTTTTCGTGATTTGAAGAGTTTGCCTGCAAATGGGGTTGATTACCTCTTACAACCCCTGAAGGCCACTGTTGTGGAAGTTCGAGCAGATGACGTTGCAATTGTTGTTGACCCCCCGCATAATTGGGTCTCCAGTCAGCCGGTGTTGAGTCAAGGTCGTGCCCTTAACATCATCCATGCTGAACATGACTGTCTTTGGCTTGAATCTGTTGCTGATGTTGCTGTTGTGGATCCTGTTTCACAGCTTCAGTGCGCTGGGTCCAAGCAAGAATTGGAAAGAGTGTTCATTGATGCTTGGAAGGCCAGATGGGATCGGCACAAAGATGTTCCGTATGAACGTTGGCACACTATCTTAGACTTTGCTAGGCGCCGACTGCGCACTGTTCCTGTGAGCTGGCCAGCCTTGGATGTGGTGCAATTTTCCCAATTGGTGGGGCAAAAACGCCGAAGATCTGCAGGTGGATTGGACGGGGTAACAGTTGCTGACCTGCAACATATGCCCAGCAATGCCCAGGCTGCTTTCTGTGATATGTTTCGAGAAGCTGAAGTGACAGGGGACTGGCCTGGACAACTTCTTCAGGGAAAAGTCGTTTGCTTGGCCAAGACTGAGCATCCTAGTTCTGTTGGAGATTATCGTCCCATTACCATTCTTGGTATGTTGTATCGGGTTTGGAGTTCCTATCAGGCCCAAAATGCTATCCGAGCCTTGGATCAGCGTTTGCCAGACACATTGTATGGATGTAGGCCTGCCAGATTTGCCGGTCAGGTTTGGAGTCAGCTTCTTTGGGCAGTTGAGTCTGCTGCATCGCATGGTGTGGCTTTGACGGGATTGATTGCTGACTTGCAAAAAGCCTTTAATCACATTCCTAGGGTAGTGGTCTTTGAAGCGGCTGCTTTGCTTGGCCTCCCGTTTCTCATGCTCACAGCCTGGGCAGGTGCACTAGTGAAAGTTGGGCGTCGTTTTCAGATTGGGTCGAACCTAACCAGGGATATTTTCAGCTCTACAGGAATGCCTGAAGGAGATGGGCTCTCGTGCTTAGGCATGCTGATTGTTGACATCCTTTTCCATGAGTGGCATGTTTGCTTCTTTCCCTTGTGCCAGCCGGTGTCTTATGTTGATGATTGGACAATCATTACTACATCTCCTGACATGCTGGATGGCATTCGACAGTGCCTCCGTCGTTTTACAGATGCCCTTGACATGCTGTTGGATGACCAGAAGACCTTTGCTTGGTCTGTTTGTGGGCAAGGACGACAGGTGCTTGCTGCTCAGGGGTTCAAAGTTCAGAACTGTTGCAGGGTGCTGGGAGCGCATGTCCAAATTTCACGTAAGCATACAAATGGGACTCAGATCAAACGTCTGGATGCAATGCAGGCCATGTGGTCTCGTTTGAAGCTTTCAGCATCCCCATATGAACTCAAGGTCCGTGCACTCCGAACTGCAGCATGGCCCAGGGGGCTGCATGCCATTGCAGCCACCACTATAGCCTCTCAACATTTTAGTAGCCTTCGTGCCGCTGCAATGAAAGGGCTCAATGCTTCTGGCTCAGGTTGCAATGCAATGGTTCATTTAAGCCTCATTGAACAGCCCACTACAGATCCTCAGTTTTGGGCCACTGTTCAGACTCTTCGCTTAGTCAGGGATTGTGGTATAGCTGAAGTCGTTGGTAGTGCTTTGGGCGCCCTTGTTCATGATGTTGATGGTGTTATGCGCAATGGCATCACTGCCACATTGCTCACAAGGTTGCAGATTCTGGGTTGGCATATCCCCAGCCCTTTGAGTGTGGTTGATGACTTTGGTAGCTTTTCTATCTTTGAACTCAGCATGGAAGAACTGAAATGGCGAATGGAATGGTCTTGGCTCAAAGTGGTCGCTGCCAGTGTTGCGCATAGACCTGGTCTGTCGGAACTTGCTCGTGTTGATCCAGGCAAGACACGTCGATGGCTGATGTCTCTTTCAGTGTCTGATAGGGCTGCCTATCGGAAATTATTGAATGGGGCCCACATCACTCAGGATGCCAAGCATTATTGCCAGGAAAGTGAGTCTGATGTTTGCATGTTTTGCCCGTGCGTTGACTCTCGTTTTCATAGATTCTGGCAATGTCCTTCCTTCCAGACCTGTCGGGAAGGAATTGATGCTGAGCTGTTTGCTGCTCTTCCAGAGCTGCCCGAATGCGTTACATGTTATGGTTGGGCTCTTCGCCCTACCACATGTGTTGAGTGGTATGGTTTCCTGCATAACATTGTCAGTCATGACCTTCCAAGTGCCCCAGCTTTTGCTGGTGACATGTTGCATGTGTTCACTGATGGAAGCTGTTGTAACCCTGCCTACCCAGAAGCACGTTTTGCCTCCTATGCGGTGGTCATTGCTGATCCTGCTATGCTCCAGCCAGCTAGTGTGCTTGACTGTGGACCGCTTCCAGGGCTTCGCCAGACCTCTGTCCGCGCTGAACTGTTTGCGGTGCATCGCGTGGTTCGTATTGCTGCCACGTATGGTTTGAGGGTTATGATCTGGTCCGACTGTCTTTCAGTGGTTCGACGTTTGCGTAGGATCATGGGTGGGGCGAGAGTCAAGATCAACTCTCCCAATGCAGATCTGTGGCTCCGCATTCAGAATGACTTGCAGGAAGGTAGTTGTGAGATCCACTGCACCAAAGTGACCGCTCACAAAAACCTTGCTGAAGCCAACACCTTGTTTGAGGAATGGTGTTTTCAACATAATCATTTTGCTGATCGTGTGGCAGCACATGCTCAAGATATGCGTCCTGCGGAGTTTTGGGATTTGCTTTCAAGACATACAGCTGCGTGTGTGCGTGTTGATGCATGGAATGCCCAAATTCAGAAAGTTCTCTTGGCTGTAAGTAAACAGGTCTTGGAAGGGGTGAACAATCATGAAGCTGAACCTGAGAGTGTCCCTATGACCTCTGTCCCGATTCAGACTTGGCAACCTTTGCCAGACTTGCCTGTTTTACCTCAAGGAGCTGTGAGATGGTATGGCTCGAGCATTGCGCAGAAGCTGGTTTCATGGTTCTGGCCTGTGGTGCAGCATACGCAGCTCCCATGTCTCTGGGTGTCGTATGCTCAGTTATTTGTTGATTTTGCGCTATCGACTGGTGAAGTTGGGCCAATTAACATTGGAGGCTGGAAAGATGGAGCAGATATGCCTTTGCAGGGACTCTTGAGTATTGGGTTTAAATGTCGAGCCAGATCCTTTGCCAAGGTCCTGCGTGAAATTTTGCGGCACTCAGGAGTCAAAGTTGTTTCTGATTATGTAAGACCGCATAGCGAGATGATTGCAATGTATGCCAGTTGCCTTGCAGTACCATGGCCGCCTGACCGTTTGACTGCAGTGGATCGCTGGTTTCTGTCATTTACGACTACACCATATAGACGTCAATCCAAAGAATTGGACCACCTTCCAGTTCCTAGCCGAGACCTCTTGTTTCCTAGGATCGCATAGCATGTTTGCAGTGAACAGCACTGGCTTCGTGTACTAAGCTTGTGCGCCGGCGAAATTGGAGAAATGGGTGTTTTGAAAATCATCTAATTTTTGAACTTGGCAATGGAATCTGCATCTGCGAAGCTTCCGCTGGCCAGGTAGTTCTGCAGGTGGAAGATTACTATTCCTCCGTGTTTCTCATGGATGTCACTCTGACCAGGCCACGCCATAGATGACAGGAAAAAGGTGTTTTCTTAAAGTTGGAGACCCCACAATCACCAGTTTGGGAGGGAAAAATGATGATGCCCCCATGGGTTTTGGAGGGTCACCACTCTTGAAAAAATAGCCAAGGTCACGTTCTTTCATAATGATTTATGGAACTGAACGACTTGCCTCCCCAGAAATTTCTTCTGGGAAAGCTATGACGTGCCTGCTCGAAAACAACCACTACTTCTGAGAAGTCTTGAGTGTTTTTGTTGTTGATGTTGCTGAGTTTGAAGTTTCCATTCCATGTCTGGAGCAGGCTCGAGAATCAGCTGAGCGATTTGACCAAGTTGGCGGACAATTTTGGGCTGTTGGATGACGTGAAATCAAAATGGGAGACTTCACTGAGGCGAGAACTCAGAAACCAAAGGAACCAAAGGAACCCAAGGAATCAAAGGAACCGAATGAAACGGCTTTTGAACAGGATATGTGTGTCCAAAGTCGACAGGTTGGATCGTTTCATCCAGTGCCATGCCGCCGTGCCAGGCTTTGCAATGATGCATCCAGTGTCGGGCCTTTGACCATGGCAGGGACCATTTTCTTGCAGATTGTGGCGTTGGTCGTGTCCTTTTTCATGGCCGTCCAATATTTCCTCCGTTACGCTCCCAGGAGACTGTTCGGTCGTTTCCCACCCTGGTGCCTTGTGGCCATGAAACTGCATGAAAATCGCCATGCCGCTATGTGTAGGAGACTGGACTACTAGAGGTTGAGGAAACAAACCAACTAAACTTAAACCAACCTCCCAGCAACATGTTTTCTGGTTATCAACAGGTTTTGCTGTATGGTTACCAGATGTGGAAAATCCATGAAAATGCCACTATTAGGTTTTCCACATCTTTTTGATTTTTTTTTGTATGTTTACCTTAGGGTACCCAAATTCCATCGTAGGCCGCAGCCTGACAAGATGCGTTGCAGGATCCGTTCTCGTCTGTCCGACTTCCTTCTGGATGCCTTGCTGCTGGACACCGAGGAGTCCAATGAGACGTTCTTGGAGGTGTGGAAGTTCTTTCACATTCTTGATATTTTCAAATATACTTGTTGTGCTACGGAACTCATTTTTGTCATTTGATGGCAAACCATTTCAAGTTCATCCAAGTTCCAGTGGTGTTTCTCTTGAAACTACAGAATGAAGAAGCCCGGATGGAGGCCGCATTTCTGGCCCTGCCCTACTTGGTCCTGGTTCTGGTGTTCCTGTTACAGCTGTTGTGCCGAAATACGAGTCGGAAGAGGCCACGACCCACGGAGGTGCTTTATGTTTCTAGGCCGATGGAGTTGTTGTGTGATATGGATGATATGGGGTCAATTTTCGGAATGTTTACTTCCAGTCACCATTCTAAATTGAAACCGGGAAATTGTGATACAACAATGGATGAAAGATATGAAAGGGGGTCCCAATTTTTGAAAATTACTGACGCTTTCCGCAGGATCCAAGAATTCACTTGATTCAAGGTCCCCTTTCCATGCTGTATCTTGGTGTTCTTCCTGAGGAAAAGTATTTTGGGTTGCGCGGAGCTTACTACCCCTTCAAGGTGGCGATCTTCCAATGCTTCACCGTTGCGGTGCAGGCCTTGGGAAAGATCTCCTTGTTGGGCGGCCTCGTTACCTTCGCCCAAGAAGAACAAGACGTGAATGCCATTCTTTGGCTTAGTGTCGGCTTCTGGGCTTTCTTTGCCCTACTCTGTTGGAACAGTCTCTATCCCGCCTTTCTTCTGATGTTCCCTGACGCTGCCTGGGCTCGAATTGGAGCAGCATTTATGGATGCTGCTTTGGACCTTGGCTACATCTTGACCTACCTGGGTATGGCATCTAGGTTTCAATTCATTTGGTTTGACAAGTCTCACGGGTTTCAACGTCGTTTCATTGATGGCTGGGCAGATGGCGTTCAGTCGGGAAACGCAAAAGTGCAATTGCTGCAAGGTTTTGGTGGCCATGCTGCGATTGCAGACAGCCTCCGAAGGCTGGGGAAATTTTGGCGAGGACTTGACGTTGCAATTCAGAAACTAAGCTCAATGAAGTCAATGCGTCAACCGGCATGAAGTGAAGTGTAAGCGTCTCAAGCGCCTTGTTTCGCATGGCATAGCGGCGCCATCCGAGTGGGATCTTCACCGCAACTTTTTTGATATCTGAGGCAATCGTATCAGCCCCGTGTTCGCCTTTCCCACTGACTTTCTGGGCTATGGCGCCGTGTATTTCAACCTAGCACACGCATGCTGCATTGCACACATTTTGCAGCACACCAATTGGAGCTTGCCAGTGCGACCCAGGCCTCGACACTAAGACTAAACAGCTTGCCATGCCAGATTTTGCCATGCAAAGATGTCGGTTTCGTTGTGAACTGACAGCAGCAAGCACTATGTCAGGGGCGAGCGCCAAAAACGGAGATACCTTCCAACACTATTTGGGTGCTCCCTTTCCATTGGGCTCCTTTCGGTGCTGGTGATTCTCCTTGTGACGCAGGACTGCTGCATAAGATTTGCGTGAGTGACCTCGAGCTGTGATTTTGATTTGACGACACTTGTTCAAGCGCTTTTGCAGGACGTTTTTCCAATGAACCATGGACAGGATTTCACGTTGAGCTCTCAGGGATCTGCTTATCTTTTTGTCATTGGAGGTCTTCATGAAAAGATCTAACAAGAGATTGTAGAATGGGATTACAAGTGTCTCCTAGGTGTTTTCCGTGCCGTTGCTCTGACAATGCTGACTCAGCTGGCCAACAGATTGACAGCTGCACCCTTGCAGCCGTCCTCAGACAGAAGCAGGCCGGGCGGATCACCGGCGGTTTGTTTTTCTGGGTGTGTGTGAAAATGGGGTAGGCCGAGACCCCACGATAGACCCCCCTAAAATGGCCATTCAACCACCAAATATTGAGGCACCATCTTTTCGGACAAACCCATCTGTTTTTGGATGCTTACGGATATGCGCTGACTTTAGGTGCACCTTGCTGCGAAGAACATCACGGCCGTGGACCCAAAGGCTTTCAGCTCACTTGGACATGTGCAGCGCCTGTCATTGGCGAACAACAGCTTGATCCATCTGCCTCCGGGCCTCTTCGAAGGCAGGAAATTTTGAGCGGCGTTGGTCAAAGAACATTTCTGCAAAGGCTTCGAGCAGTCATGCAATGACACAATGTGTGATGTTTGTAACAGCCATACATTGATGTTTCAGGTCTATCATCTTTGGAGCAGTTGGACTTGACCCGAGTTGAGCTGGCAACACTTCACGAAGATTCCTTTCGGGGCTTGGAGCAGCTGAAACTATTGGCGATGAGACACCTGTCAGCACCTGTCAGCACCTGTCAGCAGCTGAACAGTTTGAACAAACACTTTTAATTCTCTTTGACACAACAGTTTGACATTCAATCTGTGTCACCCATTGGCATCGACCAAGGCGACAACCAGCTCACCGAGCTCTCGGCTGCGATGCTGCAACATTTGCCGCTGTTGGAGCAGCTTCTCTTGGGCGGCAAGCGGGACAGGCAAAACAGAGTTATCGTGAAGGGCAATCGCATCCAGGAGCTTGGAACCATCTTCGGACACAACGAACAGCTGCAGGTGATCGACTTCAGCGGCAACAAGCTCCAGAAGATTGACCCGGCTACCTTTGCAGGACCAAAGAAGCTCCGATGGCTGAGTTTGAAATCAAACCAGTTGACGACACTTTCTGCGGGGGCATTCCAAGGACTTGGCCAACTGCAGAAACTCGATCTGACGTACAACCGGTTGACGACACTTCCCGCAGGGACGTTCCAAGACCTTGGTCAACTGCAGAAACTCGATCTGGGCCTCAACCAGTTGACGACAATTCCTGCGGGGACATTCCAAGGCCTTGATAAACTCCAGGAACTCGATCTGGGCATCAACCAGTTGACGACAATTCCCGCGGGGACATTCCAAGGCCTTGGTCAACTGCAGGAACTCGATCTGAGCTCCAACGTTTTGACCACAATTCCTGCGGGGGCATTCCAAGGCCTTGGTCAACTGCAGGAACTCTATCTGTACCGCAACAAGTTGACCACAATCCCTGCGGGGACATTCCAAGGCCTTGATCAACTCCAGACACTCTGGCTGTCTGGCAACCAGTTGACCAGAATTCCTGCGGGGACATTCCAAGGCCTTGATCAACTCCTGTGGCTCTGGCTGGATGACAACCCTTGGAATTCTTCGAGCGTCTGCATCAATTCTTCCTCGTTTCCGCTGCTGTATGATTTGTCGGGCCTAAGCTTTTGCTAAAATGTTTAGGGACGGAGCGCTTGGAGTGCATCTGGCCCTTTTGCAACCACAGTTTTGGAAGCGCCACAGCAAGCGCAGAAAAAACTTCACGTATTTTACATCAAAACCTATCCACCTCGGTCAGCCAGCCTTGATCAAGGACACGCACACATTGTTTCTCGCCAACGTTGGGGCTCTCAGAGCCGGGGACCTTCAGCCCTATGAAATCTTCGTCACCCCACGTTGCAACGCACATGATCCTCAACATATTTGAGGTCTAGGCATGCCGGGTTGAGGCAATACTCACATCCAGCTAGCACTTGGTACTGGAAGTCCCGACTTACTTGAGTAGCTCAATGTCAGATTGTGCACATGAGTATAGAAAAACAATCCCTCCAGCCACCATGGCGCACACTATGCGATTCCATAATATTCCATATGGATTTTAATGATTTTAGGTCTGACATACCAAAGGCTCCGCTTTTTCACGGAAGCAAGCTGTGCACATGGTTAATATGCTTCCTTACATATCTTATATTCCAACCGAGAAGTTGCATTGCACTATTTCCTCTTATTATAAACCTAATGTTTTCACACACTTCGTTTTACGTTTTTAACGGTTCTCGTTGTTTTGTCCCATTTGTTACAAAATCTATACACAAAGTAATATAGACCACCCAAACCAAGGACTTTTTTGACATGTTTCGTAGGTCGCACTTGTTTCAAATGCGATCAACTACGATATACTGCGATGGTCTTCCAAACACCTGGAATTTGGCACTCTAACCAAGACACGGGTGGAGACCTGAAGTTGGTGAAGGGAAAATTAAGAAGCAAAGTGGACAGAACTCAAAAGTCAACACATATTTTTCTGCTTCCTGAGCCTGGAACTCTTTGGTCTTTGGGCCCAACTTAAAGGAAGATCCATATGGGTCCCAAGCTGTTGGAAGTCATCCCTGCAGTGGTCTTGCCATCACCAGGCCATGCAGGAAGTGAAAGGGAAACTGATGGTTTTTCTGCCCCGCATCGGAGGAAAATCTCCTGCAACTCTTTTTTTTAAAGCCGCTTGGACTCTGATCGTGGTTGTTCACAAGCATGTGGCATGTACACTGCCTCACTGCTTCACTCATCCAGATCTCCAAGCAGTTCTTGAGATGAAGCTACGATGTGGTTCGCGCTTGGATAGCAGGTTTCACTCTCACTTTTCAGAGGTTTCACGGCAAGGTCCCTGAGACTCCCGGATTGGAGTGATTTGTTTGGTGATTTGTGATGCAGCGAAGTGCGCTTCAAAACTCGCCTGGTAGGGTGCGGAGTGAAGGGTTTGGTTGGACTCAATTGAAACCAATCATATTTCTCGGTTTCGGTTTTTGTTGCCTTTCCTCGATGAGAGTATTGTGCTCACCGGACTCATAGATTGTACCACCTTGTTGGTTCCCGCGACTATTTTGCAGCGTGTCTTTGACACACCGCAATGATTTCAGAGATCCATTCCAATCGCTTTTGAAACCGTCCCAAAGGAAAACCCACAACACTTTTTACTTCTAAGTATATGGCCGACATTGGCCGACATCCAAAAAAGATCAAGGAACATGTTCTTCACAACATAGGCTGTACCTCAGCAGACACAAACAAGTGGTACGGATGCGTAGTTGACTGAGTTTGATTCTCCAAAGCGCTGCGTGTTTGGAACAATTCAAAGGTCTTTGTTGAAGTTGTCGATCCGTTTGGATGAGAAATACTTCAGATTCATAGGGTCACACAAAGCAGAAACCCTCATACAGAGCCATCCACACAGACATTCTTGCAGATGCAAGCCTTGCAAGAAATGACAATTGCCAAGGTTGGCATTGCTTTCAACTGCAGAGACTCAGTTACCAGCTGTGTTGCATCACGAATCTGACAAAGATACGCTCCTTATGCCATGATCACGTCACAGTTGCATTCAGCTGCACAAGCTATATCGGAAAGCCATGTTGTCGCCAACGAGACCTGAGAGGCGGGAGATCTGGATTCCTGGGGCCCTGGGGTGTGGGCAGGATTGTGCTGGCACTGTGGACAAGATCTCGTACCAGCGCGATTGCCAATAAGGGATCCCATCTATTGCCAAGTAGCGTCGCATTCTTCTGACCAACTAGTTCGAAACGGAAAAACTGACAGCAACCAGCTGGGTCTTCATTTTGTGAAGTGATTTGTTTCCCAGTCGGCACCCATTCAGTTTCCTACTCATCCCTCTGAATAGATGAGATAAAATCAACATCAATCAACACATGCGTGCGTTGTGATCTATCTTGACAAATTTCTTCACACCGCCAAAAGACTGGGAAGGAATTGGCAAATTGCAATGTTTTCACCAACATTGTGGGGAAACACCTTGGTCGTTTTCATCTTGCCACACCTTGATACACTTTGCCGGTTTCCCGCCAGATTGGTCTGATACCACGTTGTATAAGAAAAGGTGACCTTCTGCTATCTTCTGTAAGGGCTAAGCTAAAGGTGGATTTTTCTTACAGAAGGGAGCCCTTATGCAGACAAGACATGACAAAACTAGGCAAAGCTCATTTTTTGGTTTGATAGAGTTCAACCTGCAAGGGCACCAAAGCTTTTTGGAACCGCAAAGCAGTCCTTCGATTTTAAGCTTCATCCGTGTGCTGTTTCCCCGAAACCATCAGCAAGGTGGACATGTGCAGTTCATCCTTCAGTTCCATCCTGAGTCGCTTAGACAGCTGCGCAAATCCAGCAGATTCATCCAGATTCGCATCTGCACATGCCACGGCTGCGAGAGAGTGTTCTCGATCCCTCCGATATCCCTCTGACTGCAGCGTTTTGATTTTGCGGTTTGGGAAACATGCACAGAGTACCACTGCACCCCCACTAAGGTCTTTTTAAAGTTTTCACAGTCGTTGAGACGTCCTCCGACTGTTGCAACTAAGGCTCAAGGCTCAATGGCCAATCAACTGACTGGCTCAATTTACCGAGCCCAACTTGGAGTGAAAAGGTGCACTTGCATCTGCCTCTTGGTGGGGACCTCCGGGAAGGGTCTCGGTCATAGTCTGAAACCCGTGGGTTATGAGCCCAACCCCAACGCTGCCTTGAAGCAATGTCGAGCAGCGACTTCACTCAGCGTCGTCGACAAGAACGCCAAGTTCAAGCGGCTGCTCATGCTGAAGAAGTACAACATGGGACCCATGGACATGGAAAAGAAGAACGCGCGGAAACGGCAGACCAAATGCTGGATCGGCTTCTGGAGGAGATGGACACACCTGGACAAGCACATGGGGAAAGAACAGGGACAAGATCATCAGACTCAACCCGAAGATCACTGATGGAAGGGGAAGTTGGAGAAAGTGTGATGGCACTGACCGGTGCTGGGGGAAGTGGAGCCCTAGTGCAGGTTGCGGCGGTCCGGGCTGGAGCGGGCGAACGAATCGCCCAGAATCCGGCTGTTGCGGAAGAAGTCGCAAGACCAGTGTCCTTACCACCTGACTGAAGAACCTCCTGGACTTGAAGTGGTACGAGGAAATGGGAGTGGCGGTCTGTTGTGAATAGTCTAACTCTTTCGGGAGTGCCTATGACACAAACACCAGTAGTTGCCCGGATGTCTGAGGGATTTCGTGAACCACCCGTTGTGGGTAATCGAGAAGAAGGACAGGGTGGAAAACACCAAAGCTCAACTGAAGTGGGTGGAGGTGCGGCTGCTGTTGTGGAAACCGTTGCTCTTTTGGAGCGACCGGGACGTTCACCTGTTGAGTCTCCTGAAGATGCACGTGTCAAACAAACGGTGCCAGCGGCACCAACAGGCTCACCTGTGATCTACCAGCCAGCGGGAGCACCTGTGGTGTATACCGCAACTGGTGGAACACAGGGTTCGCAAGTAGCTGGGATGTCCCAGCAATCCATGTGTGCTGGAGTGCCACCTACGGGAATGGTGCCTCAGTGGGGAACGGCGGTTGTGGATCCTGGGATTGTAACCGGGGTCATGGCTGCAGAGGAAACGAATCCATGGAGTGCTGCCAAGCGAGTGGAAGCTCTAATGAGCAGTCCACAAACTCCAGTGAAAGAGCTGACTTATCCCATAGTGTCGCAAGACCTGATTGATCAGGCGGACGCGAGGGAGAAGGAAAAGTATGAGGAGTTGAAACAGCAAATGATGGAATTCTTTCAACGGAGCAAGACCGAGATCCAACAAGATCGAGAAAATTGGTTAGCCACGCGGGAAGAGAAACGTGCCCTGGAACGGGTCCGAGAAGCCGGAGGAGGTCACAAGGGCTCTCAGTCAAGTGGGGGGTCTTATCAAACCGCCTCGCCGGAGCTGAAGAATGTCGAGCAGGGTTTTCCTGTGGGGCCACCTCAAGGTGTTCCACCCCAGGTACAACATGTGCAAGATCAACCAGTTCCAGGAGTTCAACATCACCATGATCAAGATCTTCAAATGCAGGCGGGAGGTCAGTTGTGGAATGTTCCTCCTGCGCCCAAGGTCGAACAAGGTTTTCGGCCGATGGATGTGTATATGAATCAAGGGTGGCTAATTGGAATACCACCGGGAGGTATGCCGCAGAGAGCGGCGTCAAGACCACCGATGGGAGTTCCTTGCATGGGAGCCACGGAAAACACAAAACACTTTTTCATCGGTGACCAACCTAATCAATGGTATAATCCTCAAGTCCAAGTTGGAGGAGCACCTGCAGGACAAGATCATCGACCTCAAGGGGTTTTTGCATTTCCGGGAGGAAACACCGGACCTATGGGTGGTTATGGTTGGCCAGGGGGTCCACCGCCAGGGCAGTATGGAAATCCCGGACAAGCACCTGGTCCGCCAGGTGGTCATCAGGGAAATCCCGGTCTCCCAGGTGGTCATCAAGGAAATCCAGGACAAGCTGCACCGCCACAACAACAACAAGCTGTAGTCCAAGCAGGACCTCAGGCAGGGGGAGAAGTACCAGGCGAAACGCTAAGATCGGTCGAATTGCCGAAGCTGGACAGGAATGCAACATCTTTGGACTTTGGAGACTGGCTGACAGTTGCCCAACAGATGATTGGGGATGTGAGCTACACCTCAGAGCAATGGTGGGAAGTAGTGATGACTGCTGTTGAACAAGCATACCACCACTGGTTGCAAGCGGATCCACTCATGAGGCTCCGGATGGCGCCTGTGATACCTGACATGGCCCGTAGGTGGCCTCGCACAGAGAAACGGGTGGTGGGTATGCTGCTTCAAGCCGTCCCCAAGGACATCTATGAGGACCTTGTGGCGAACAGACACATGTCAGCGGGTCAAGTCATGTTCAAGCTGTACACCGTCTTCCAACCTGGGGGACAAGTGGAAAGAACTTCTCTACTACAGATGTTGGTGGACTGGAAGGGTCCATCCAATAATGCTGCAGAGATGGTCAACTCCATCCGGAAGTGGAGAAGATGGGTGGTTCGTGCCGAAGAACTTCAATTGGTTTTACCCGATCCTCTGGTTTTGGCCGGAGTGGTCGCAAAAATGAGCGATGCACTAGCCAGGTTGGGGGGAGCTCAGGCTGCATACCGGTTGTCTTCGGTGAGACAGCATTTGGGTATAGATCTCCGGCCGGGAATGCAAGAGATCAGAACGTTTTCTGAACTTCTTCAAGCTGAAGCTGGTGAAATGGCTCTCCGTCAACCGGGGAACATAACACAGGGCCCAGCGGCTAAACCCAATAATGTGGTAGGGGTGAAGTCGATGAGTGGGCCGGATTCATCTGGAAACCCACCAAAGGGCGCTTCAAAGGGAAAACCAGAAGACGCAGCAGGTTCTTCCACCGGAAGGAGGGGAGAAAAGCCCGAGCTGCCGATTAACGCGGCTAATGTGGTCCACAAGACTGCGTGCATCAACTGGCTGACAGATAAGGGATGCCAATATGCTGACCGGTGCCGATTCACGCACACTGTCCTGGACTCCAAAGATGGCCGATGTTTCAACTGTTCTGGAAGGGGGACACTCCCGACGTGATTGTCCGGCGGGAAAACGAAGTGAGTCACGAGGTCCACAAGGTGGATCCGAGGAACCAAAGGTGGCCAAAACCACAAGAATCCGCTCAAGATCTCAAGAGAGGAAAAATGGTCCGGGAAAAGAGGGAGGTGCTGCTCAAGAACATTCTGAACCTACCGTGAAGATCAATCCGATGAAGGAGTCCACGGTCACTATAACCCCTGTACCAGAGGAGGCCAACAAGGTTGTGGGAGAAGTGACCAACCTTTTGAAGGGTCTCAATGGACCGGTCTTGAAATCGGTGGGGCATGGTGGGGATCATCTCGAAGTTGAATTTGATTATGGAACAGGTTTATTGGATGGTGGGGCGACACACCCCTTGAGACAGGGATCAACCGAGGAGATCAAGAACGCGGTGCAGGTCACTGTGGAACTCGCACATGGAGCTGCTCAGCTCTATCAAAATCCTGTGAATGGAACCCTCTTGTCGGAGGGACCGGTGGAACCAATTGTACCTCTTCGAGGTTTGGTGGAATTGGGATACACCATCACTTGGTCCCGTGCAGGATGTGTTGTGAAGCATCCACGACTGGGAAACATAGAATGTTGGTTAAGGTCTGGGTGTCCAGTGGTTCGAAAGGACCACGCTCTGGCTCTGATCACTGAGATTGAGCACATGGAAATGGAAAAGAGGACCAACCATCGGCTCACCTTGGAAGAGCCCACGGAGAAGACCAAGAAGTGGTGGGGATCACGATTTCCGGAAACACCGGACAGAATTTGGAATTACATGCGGGGTCAAGATGAAGAAGATCCGCAAATGAACCATGATTTACCATGGAACCGGCACAAAAGAAGGAGGCTGCTCACCTCAAAAGGGGTTATAGTCCACCTTTTTGCTGGAGAAAGGGCGAAGGAATGGCGAAAGAATCCCATCAATGGGATTGAAGTCATCACTTTGGATATCAATGAAGGTCGAAATCAAGATCTACACAATCCGGGAACATGGAGTTTCCTTTGGAAACTTGCAAGCCTGGGAAAACTTCTTGCTATCATCGGGGGACCTCCCTGTCGGACGGTCAGCCGATTGAGGCAGAAACAACCGGGACCAAGACCATTGCGTGGACGTTTCCA